TCTTGTCAATAGCGCAGTCTTCGCTGTGTTTGGCCCCCGCTGGTGTGGGCCACACAGTAGCTGCAATACGGCCAAATTCTGCCAATGGCCTGATGGCTGCTGCAGCTCTGCAAAACCATGTGTTGGCCGTCGATTGGCCCGAAGGATAAGTCCCCGTTGCCAACACTGTCTGTGGCACTGCCGCCAACCATATATTAAGCCTCCAATACACTCTGGAGTGCCCTTTCTGCTGTCGCCGCACAGCACTCTTGAATTCGAGCTCGTGCCCTCCTGCTCGGCCGTTTGCCCAGCAATTCCTCTGTTAGTATTTAAGTATGTTAACAACAAAAAGCATCCACCACTCACATTCACAGGTTATAAGCCCAACGCGGGCACGGGCCTCGGAGAACGAAGAACGTCGTGTGAGCTCAACAGCAGAGCAGCAGTCAACTCCAACCTCGGTGGATGAACACTGATACAGGCGATTGCGACCGCAGTTGTCCGTGCGTTTAGTGTGGTCCGGACGGGCCCACAGCAATTCGTTGAGAATCAGTCTGGAGGTCGACCCGAAGAAGGAAAACGCCAACTCCCCTCTCCCAGACCACATAAATACCTCGACGCGGCACTTCAACCGTCGGCAACTACGCCGGTCCCCACAACATCGGTGTCGCCTCCTGCGCTGCAGGACGCTCCCCCAAGATCTCTAGTGATCTCGACTCGAGACGAAGATCCAGCACAAGCTACAGACGAAGGGTTAGCCGGTTCATCCTTGACGCCGTACGAAACGCACCGTCACGTTCCCACCGAACCCGTGGCACCGCTGCCGAGCATCTACGACGGAGGAGCTGCTGCCACGCAGCAGAAAAAGACAATGGGTGGCTGGCAGGCGAGTCAGATCCACGTCGCGTCAACCAAGTTCGATGGGAAGGTCGAGAACTGGAGCGGATGGAAAACGGAGATGCAGACCATCCTGCATTGGCAAGGGCTCCTACAGGTGCTCAAGCGCGTGGATTTTTTGATGCCCAGCGTGAAGAGAGAGACTGTGAGTGGAGCAACTGCTTTGAGACCAGAACAAGGAAGGCTCATACGGAGATCACTCTGTCACTGCATGGTGACTTGCTGGATCGCTTCAAGTCTGACATAGAGAGCGCAGATCCAGCGCGCCTGTGGCTGCTCTACTACGTACCTATGACGGGGCCGAAGGGACGAATGCAGTCTACCTGAAACAGGACACGTACGCGCGTCGACGCTTAAAGACGAGGGTGTGATGGACTACGTAGGTGACTTGCAGCGTATGCGCCGTGAGCTCGAACGCATGGAGATCACTATAA